AACCCGCCACCTTAGGTGTATGTGGCTGGCGCCTTAGCCGGTTGAGCTATAGGCACCGAGCCCCCAGACTGGATCTTGCTGCTGAGGAGTGTGATGAGGGCCAGTCCAGAGCAGGGTCTGCAGTTCTCTCAGACGCTGGTGCAGGGTGAGGAGCCACTGGCTGACCTTGACCAAGTGAGCAAGGGCACCAGGGACAACCTCTTTGGGATTTTTATAACCATCAAAAAGACTCCTTTTCATTTGTTTTTCTGTTAATGTATGTCTCAATGCTTTTCTTTGCTACTAATCTTCCAGGGTTTTTTGGGTGGGATATTTTTTTTTTTTTGAGACAGAGTTTCTGTTACCTCCAGTAGAGTGCTGTGGCGTCATAGTTCACAGCAACCTCAAACTCTTGGGCTCAAGCAATCCTCTTGCCTCAGCCTCCCAAGTAGTTGGGACTACAGGAGCCCACTGCAATACCTGGCTATTTTTCCTATTTTTAGAGGCAGGGTCTCACTCTGCCTCAAGCTGGTCTTAAGCCAAGCAATTCACCTTCATCTGCCTCCCCAAGTGCTAGGATTACGGGTGTGAACCACTGTGCCCAGCAATCTTCCAGGTTTTAAAAATCTGGTATGCCCCAGGGAGCTTGTCTTCTAGTTGTCATTTTGTGAACTCTTGTCATTACCTTTGTTTTGAAGTGTCTTAGAGGACGTATGGGGAGCCAGAAGGATCATGTTTCCTTGTTGGCTTATGGGCCCATATCTATATCCTAGCACTTTGGGAGGCCAAGGTGGGAGGATCGCTTGAGCTCAGGAGTTCAAGACCAACCTGAGCAAGAGTGAGACCGCATTTCTACTAAAAAATAGAAAAATTAGCCCCGCGTTGTGGCAGTTGCCTGTAGTCCCAGCTACTTGGGAGGCTGAGGCAAGAGGATTGCTTGAGCCCAGGAGTTTGAGGTTGCTGTGAGCTAGGCTGAGGCCACGGCACTCTAGACTGGGCAACAAAGAAAAAAGAACTGGTGTCTTAAGTAAATGTTTGTGGTTTTGCTGTTGCGTCTGAGTAATACAGTGATAGTATATGGGCTAGATGCCAGGTATTGGCTGCTGTGTTACTCAGGATACTCCAAGAGACAGAATGAATGGGGTAGATGTGGATAAATCAGAGGGATTTATGAGGGGAGTCAGCTCATGTGGAGGCTGAGACGTCCCGACACGCTGTCTGCCAGCTGGAAATCTCATGATGCAGAATCATGACTGAATCCAACTTCAGAAGCATCAGAGCCAGGGAGACTATGGTGTGACTCTCAGCCTGAAGCTAAAGGCCCACGAGCCTGCCAAGTCCAGATGCCCTCCATTCACTCCATGGACTCATGCCAGTTTCCTCTGGAAACACTCACAGATACGCCCAACATTCATGCTTTACTGTTCTATAGATATTCTTTTATCTAGTCAAGTTAACACTGGAAATTAGCCATTACTGCTTTATCTGGGACTTGATTAAGCAATGTGTTGGTAAGAATGGTTGGATTACTCTAGAGTAGCAGTTCTCAACCTTCCTAATGCCACGAACCTTTAAATACAGTTCCTCATGTTGTGGTGACCCCCAACCAAAAAATTATTTTCGTTGCTGCTTCATAACTGTAATTTTGCTACTGTTATGAATCGTCATGTGTAAATATCTGATATGCAGGATGTATTATCATTGTTACAAAGGGGTCACAACCCACAGGTTGAGAACCACTGCTCTAGAGGATTCTGGGGCTTCATTTGTTAGGAAAGCTGCTCTCTTTAATCCACTCTAGTAAAATGCTCTGTTGGTGAGTATGACATAGGAGATGGGATTTCACAAAAATTTTCTATCTATAATGGTCATAAATTAAATTACAAGAATTTCGATGACATAAAAAGATGCAAAGGGAGGAACTCTGTTGAATTTCTAAGTGAGATTCCATTTCAGGAACTATTTCAGAGAAAATAGGAAAAGGAATAGGAAAAGAAAACCCTATTTCCTTCAAGTGAAAATGTGACTCGGATCTGTTTCAGATTGTGGACATTTTCATGGAAAATGGTTTAATTCAGCAGTGTACATCCTTCCTGTTGGATGCCCTGAAGGACAATCACCCAGCAGAGGGGCACCTGCAGACTCGGCTGCTGGAGATAAACCTGATCCACGCACCCCAGGTGAGTGCACGTCTGTGCTGACACCAGGGGCAGAGTGCCTGTCACTCCCCTGGCTGGGACCCACAGTGGCACATCTTTGCTGACATGAGGGGCAGAGTGCCTGTCACTCCCCTGCCTGGGAACCCCAGTGGCATGTCTGTGCTGACACCAGGGGCAGAGTGCCTGTCACTCCCCAGCCTGGGACCTGCGACCTACCTGCAGCTGTGGGCCAGCCGTGCCTGTGGGTGTCTGTCTGTCTCTACTTCTCTTGGGCTTAAGCAATTCTCTTGCCCCAGCCTCCCCAGTAGCTGGGACTACAGGTGTCCGCCACAATGCCCAGCTATTTTTTGTTGCAGCTGCCACTGCTGTTTACTGGGCTGGGTTCAAACCCAAGGTGTGTCACACACTGTGATCCCCAACCCCCTCCTTCCTTCCCTCTCTTCACTCCCCCATTTCAGTTTTTTTCTTTAAAAGAAGTTATATGGGGGGGTTAAATGCTTTGTAGACAAGAGAATAAAACATGCTAGGACCAACTTATTCTCATCATCATCTCACCGTCCTTCTTTGTCATCGTGACGACTCCCTTTTTTGCCAGCCCGCATCTCCCCTGGTCTCCCTACAGTGGACAGGCTGGGATGTTCCCCTTTGATTTGGGGGTGATACTCAGAAGAGAACAAGAAAAAGGCCAAAGGAGGCCTCTTGGGAACATGGGGATCCTTTTTCTTTTAATTTATTTTTTGAGGCAAAGTCTCACTTTGTCACCCTCGTAGAGTACTGTGGCATCATAACTCACAGCAAACTCCAACTCTTGGGCTTAAGCGATTCTCTTGCCTCAGCCTCCCAAGTAGCTGGGACTGTAGATGCCCATCACAATTCCTGGCTTTTTTTTGTTGCAATTGTCATTGTTGTTTAGCTGGCCCAGGTTGCATTCAAACATCAGTGTATGTGGCTGATGCCATAACCACTGTGCTACCGAGCCCCGCACTGGGATCCTTGAACCTCTTCTTTGTTTCCCCGTGGTAGGGATGTAGGTTTTCCTTTCTCTGTCCCGACGGGCCCTGTCTGCTTCTCCATGCCTTCACATTGTCCTTCCTCCTGGCCTTCCGCTTCTCTGAGCACGTCTTAGAAACCTCTGAGAGGGCGACTCAAACACCTGGGAGCTGCTCATTCTGCACAGAGACTGCGTGTGTTGACCTGCTGTGTCTCAACTTCTCACACTCTCCTTTGCCCACGTTGAGTTGCTTTTCCTCCGTGAGGCAGAGTCATGAGGCAGAGTCATGCAGTGCCCGTGCTGCCCTCACTTGCCCAGGCACCGAATCCACAGAGAGGACGGAGTGGCTGTGAGAGTGGGGGCTGGACGCAGCCTCCTCACTCACCCCAGCCTTAACCAGACTGGTTAGATACCACTCAGCAGGCAGCAGGGTTGCTGTGTCAATGGCATTCTTAGCCCAGCAATTATTTATTTAATGATAATGTTAAGCCTCATCAAAATTCTTTCGAGGGATGTTCATTGTTTTTAAATGTAACCTCTACCTCCCAGTTCTCCCTTAAACCTAGTGAAGTCCAATGAACACAAATAGGATCTGTGACTTTGGGGTCTAATTCTGACCGTTACTAGTGAGAGCTGAGGATTAAAGACCGTCTGGCAGACTTGAGCCCTCATGTTTATCCTGCCTTAGAAACCCCAGGAGAACATAATTAGCTTCCACGATGACTGGACAGCTCAGTCATGATGGGTATGGGGCCTTGGTCCCTCTCACATGCCCACCGCTGTGGCCACTTGGGCTACATGCTGGCATCAGATGGAGCCTCATGTGAAGGCTCTCAAACGACTTCCAGGATGGCAGGGCTCTGCGTGGAAGTGTGGCCATGGTCAGGGCCCATGAGGGCTGGTTCCCAAGCTCTGCCCTGCCCTGCAGACTCAATTGAGCCACTGCTTCTACCTAGTCCTTGCCAGCAATCAGGCTTTCTCACTGAGCTCACTTTTTCATAGGTTGCCGATGCCATTCTTGGAAATCAGATGTTTACTCATTACGATCGGGCCCACATCGCCCAGCTGTGTGAGCAGGCCGGCCTCCTGCAGCGGGCACTGGAGCACTACACCGACCTCTGCGACATCAAGAGGGTCCTCGTCCACATGCACCTGCTCAACCCTGAGGTGGGTGTAGGCTGGACACTCCCATGTGGGTGGTGCCATGCAGTGGTAGCCCCAGGTGCACCCTGATGTGAGGTCACTGTGAGGCCACATCAGGACCCAGTCACACCCTGCCCGCAATCTGCCCACTTGGCAGTGTGTCTGGGCCCCATGTCACCTTTCTTTCCGATGTCCACCTTAACTTGACCTAATAGCAGAACAGAAACAACCTTTTTATTTGCTTTTTTGTTTGTTTTTTAAGAGACAGAGTCTTACTTTGTGGCCCTCAGTAAAGTGTTGTGGTTTCATAACTCAGAGCAACCTCCAGTTCTTGGGCTTAAGCGATTCTCTTGCCTTAGCCTCCCGAATAGCTAGGACCACAGTGCCCAGCTATTTTTTTTGTTGTTGCAATTTGGCCAGGGCCAAGTTTGAACCCACCACCCTCAGTATATGAGGCTGGCGACCCACTCATTGAGCCACAGGCACCGCCCCAGAAACAACCTTTTAACACTGACAGCCCAGCAGGGCTGTCTGAAACAATTAGCAAAAGCTAAAAACAGTGACTGTGTCCCAGTTTGCAGAATGGCTTTGGTACCACCTGGGGAACATTCTGGGATGGGCAGTTTAGGACAATGTCTCGTCTCAAGTTTACGCCTTGTTCCCACTTTTTCTCACGGTGAATAGTTGTTTTTCTGTCCTAAAGTGGAAATTCTTTATATTTTTGACCCTTGCAGGAATGGAGGACATCCAGTTATTTTCCGAGTCTTCTCAGTACTCAAGGCTGTGCACAGCTGTGGACAGACTCTTTTTTTATTCCCAGTGGCTTGTCGGCTTCTTTGGCTCCTTGTCGCTGGAGGATTCTGTGGAGTGTCTGTGTGCCCTGCTGTCCCCAAACATCAGACAGAACCTCCAGCTGTGTGTGCAGGTGGCCTCTCAGTACCACAAGCAGCTGGGCACACAGTCCCTGGTGGAGCTCTTTGAGTCCTTCAAGAGTTACGAAGGTAAACCGCAGCCTCCAGCCCACCTGCCATGCATCTGAGCCTCTTCTCAGATGTGCTGTCTGCCTGATGAGACTGGCCAGGTCACCTCCCTTTGTCCTTCTGGGGGTGTCACACCAGAACAGTGAGCTACAGTGAGGGTGGGTGCTTTACTGGGGACAGGTGGCGAGCTGTCTGGCCTGCTCAGGGGAGAGACTGAGCATCTGTCTGGTGGGACATTCAGCTGCTGTGCTTTGCCCAGGGAGCAGGCCTCCTCCTCGGGAGACGCCACACGGAAGCCCTGAGCAGAGGACTGGGGGCTGGGACAGGAGTGGCGGCAGAGTAGCATTGGGGCTGCCTGTTCCCAGCCTATCATCAGAGCCTCATGATTACAGTTAAGGACATCAGCTGGAGGGCGGGGCCTGTGGCGGAGCTGGTAGGGCTCCGGCTCCATATACAGAGGGTGGTGGGTACAAACCCAGCCCTGGCCGAACTGCAACAAAAAAATAGCCGAGTGTTGTGGCGGGCGCCTGTAGTCTCAGCTACTTGGGAGGCTGAGGCAGGAGAATCGCTTATGCCCAGGAGTTTGAGGTTGCTGTGAGCTGTGTGACTCTATAGAAGGCAAGTGAGACTGTCTCTACAAAAAAAAACTTAAAAAAAAAAGGACATCAGTGGGAAGAGTGTCCTCTGGGACATGTGCTACCCTGTTGCTGTTACTGTCACTAGTATCTCCTCATGGGCCTGCAGTGACTCAGAGCAGTGTTAGCCTCTGTTGAACAGTGTCTGCTGGGACTCACCATGGGGCTCAGACGTGGTGGCCACCCCACTGTCTGCTCCAGGTCAGGCTATGGCCTCATCGTGTGTAGTCTCCCCACCCCCTAGGGGCTGTTGCTCACTGTCTGTCCCCAGCACATCTTTGTAGAACAGCTGTACCACAGCTCTCAGGCCACCTAAGTGGGAATTATTCTTGAAGATCTGTACCTAGGCCCCCAGAAGGAACCCACACACACCAATATCCAGTATTTCACATCAGAACATCCCAGGTGTACCTCCCCAGGTGGAAATCTGACTAGCTACCTGTGTTTGGGGGAGATGTCAGAACAGAATTCCTCTCGGTCGTGAGTCCTAAGTGTGCTGTCAGGACCCAGAGCACAGGGCAGGGTCAGCGTGGTGGGCTGCCGACAGAGGGCAGCGATGGCTACAGAGGGTGGGTGGGTGTCACTAGGATAAACAGTGGGTCCTCCTTACCCAGAGCACAGGGCAGGTCGGTGTGGTGGGCTGCCAGTAGAGGGCAGCGATGGCTACAGAGAGGGTGGGTGGGTGTCACGAGGACAGAGACAGAATGGGCCCTCCTCACCCAGAGCACAGAGCAGTCGGTGTGGCTGACTCCTGCAGGAGGACAGCAGTGGCTACAGAGGGTGGGTGGGTGTCACGATGACAGAGACGGAGTGGGCCCTCCTCACAGGCCTCTTCTACTTCCTGGGCTCCATCATCAACTTCAGCCAAGACCCAGACGTGCACCTGAAATACATCCAGGCTGCCTATAAGACAGGGCAGATCAAGGAGGTGGAGAGGGTCTGCCAAGAGAGCAGCTGCTTACAACCCGGAGCACGTAAAGAACTTCCTGAAGGTGCGTCCAGCCCCTCCCGCAGACTCTCTCCCAGGGGCAGATGGGACAGACCTTGAGCAGAGCTTCCTAAGGTAGAAAGGTGGACATGTCTTGCCTCAGTCCCCTGGGACAGGTCTCCACTTAGTGGTTCAGGTTCTTAGAGGAACTGGTCTGTCACTTTAAGACCTTTTATGGAGAGAAACTCAAGGCTGTGCTCTTAAATGAGTGGAAGGAGTCAGGTTCTTGCTGCACCGTGATTCTCCACACCTCCACCGTGCGTTGGTGAGATGAGGCGAGGCTGCAGTCACAGAGGCCACTCAGTGCTGGTAGCAGGAAGGACAGGCGTCCTGCCTCTTTCTCAAGTGACAGTCCTGGGTGCCTTGGGTTAATGAGGTGGCTTTCCCTTCTACCATCCTTCAAGGACCAGCCTGCTGTCTGCTTTGCCATCTTTAGCATACCGCCCAGAATGTGGCCTCCCCAGCCAGCAGGACAAGGGAAGCACGGAGCAACCTGCATGGGTCGCCTCAGGGTTCCCGCTCCCCTGGAGGGAGTGAGGTCACATGGTCATGCCTGAAACCTCTAGGGAACCTGGGAGGTATAAACAAGGACTGGACCCAAGTAAGGGAGGCGTGACTTTGGGGGCCCTTGACCGTCCTGCTCAAGGGCCAGCACTCTCTGGGAAGGTGCACAGCTGTGTTCCTGGGGCCTGGGGCCTGTGGCTATCTGTCTAAAGAGCCCACTTCACTGCAGGTGCACTGCCCCAGAGAGCAGTCTGGCCTGTGAGAGATTTATGAATAACCAGCTGCTTGTCTTAACCCCAAAGAAGTCTAAATTCACAGTCTTTAACCAGATAGTATCTTCTCTCCCCTGCTTGTTTCCCAAAGCAAACACAACATCGAGTGACAGCATATCCAGAACCAGGTCTCATTCCGAGCGCCCCGCCCCCCCCCCCAACACCGTGTGCCACTTCCCAGCACAGGCATTGTCCTCTGTGCTGGGCTGTGAGCTGTGAGGTCTGCTCAGGTGTCTCCACTCCCTGACCTGGTTTATGCCTTCAAACCCTTAGGAGGCCAAGCTCACAGACCAGCTTCCCCTCATCATCGTGTGTGACAGGTTCAACTTTGTGCACAACCTCGTCCTGTATTTATACCGCGACCATCTGCAAAAGTACATTGAGACCTACGTCCAGAAGGTACGGCCACCTGCTTGCCATCGGCCTCCGGGTGACACAGGCTGCGGCCTCCACTGAGGAGCTGCCTCTGATGCCTGAGCATTTCAGACCCCGTCAGTCTGAAGGTGGCATATTAGTCTGCTCAGCCTGCTGGAATAGAGGGCCACAGATGGGCGGCTTAAACAGAAGCCATTTACTTCTCACAGTTGTGGGAGCTGGGAACGCGAGATTGGGGTGCTGGCGGGTTTGGTTCCTGTCCTCCAGGGTTGCAGACCACCGCCCCCCCCCACCATCCTCATGCAGCCCTTCTGTGGACGTGCCCTCAGATGTCTCTTCCTCTGACAGGGGTGCCAGCCCTGCTGGATTAGGGCCCCATGCTCATAGTTAGCTACCCCCTGAAATGCCCTCTCTGCAAATAGGGTCCCAGTGGGAGTCAGGGCTTCACCAGGAATTTTGACAGGACACAGTTCAGCCCTAAACAGGAGCCCTGTGAGGGTCTCACTGTCAAACCCTGGGGGGCTAATCAGGGACCTGCAGCTGTAGCACTGAAGCGCCCCTCGACTCCTCCAGGTCAACCCTAGCCGGACCCCTGCTGTGGTTGGAGGGCTGCTTGACGTGGACTGTCCTGAGGAGGTGATTAAGAACTTACTCATGGCAGTGAGAGGACGGTTCTCCACGGATGAGCTAGTGGCTGAAGTAGAAAAAAGAAATCGGTAAAGGGTCCTTACTTGGTGTTTCTCTTGTCCCATCTCTTGCTAAGTCTCTGACTCATTCTCCAAGATGCTTTCAGGGTCGGCCTCCTGACCCCGGAACTGTACACGTCTTAGGTCTAGTAATGGGTTATTTGCTATTGGTGTTGAAGACTTAGGGGAAAACTTAACAATTGACGTCAATTTGGGAACCAGGTCTATCTTGATCCTTAGAGCAACGTGGAGTTGATGGAGAGACTTTTGGCGGTGGGATGTTTCAAAAAGCAAGACTGGGAGGCCAGGGTTGCCCTAGAGGTTCCTTGAGATGTTCACGGTACCCTGCTTCTTTCAAAGGCTCAAGTTGCTGCTTCCCTGGCTGGAGTCCCGAGTTCAGGAGGGCTGTGAAGAGCCCACCACTCACAACACACTCGCAAAAATCTACATTGATAGCAATGAGAACCCTGAGCGCTTCCTGAGGGAGAACCCTCACTACGACAGCCGCGTGGTGGGCCGGTACTGTGAGAAGCGGGACCCCCACCTGGCTTGCATTGCCTATGAGCAGGGCCAGTGTGACCTGGAGCTCATCAAGGTGAGCAGCGGACGCCCTTGGTGGTGATCCTGGTGCCCAGGCTCAGGGGGCCGGGCTCCAGATGGTGCCTGTGGGAGCCAATCAGGGCCCTGCATCTCTGGGGACAGTGAGTAATGGGGGCCCTTCCATGGACTAGTCCTCCTTGTGATCTGGCTGCTTTAGGGGACCTGCTGCACTGTCTGTACGTGTGTCTGGGGGCCCAGTTAGCCCCGGATCTGACCCTTCACTTCTCTGCTCACAGTTCTTGGTGTTGACTAGTAACTGGAGGGTGAGGTGAAACTTCCTGGCCTAACCCGTGAGCTCCTCTGTAGACCTCCCCACTCCTGCCTGCCCAGCCACCCTCCACCACCTACCTGGCGTAGCCTGCAGGTCTCGGCACCTTCTGCCCCAAGTGCCCTCGTATCCCCGTCCCTGTCTTGGTGCCCCCCTCACATCCCCTCCCTCATCTTTCTGACTGGCCTCGCTCTTGCCGGCCCACTCTCCCAGGTCTCCTGCCTCCACCTGCCCAGGCTTGGATTTATTAGGTAATTACATTCTTAGGTTGAGCTATAATGAGTAGTTGGTACTTACCATTTGTCCTAAAAATCCAGCCCCTCTGGTGGTTGTACGTAACGTTTGTTCAGCTGTACTCTCCTGGCAGCCATCGGTCTGCTTGTCCCCAGCACCCTGGCATACCTGTTGGGGAAGGTGTCTGTCAGGCATGAGTACATGGAGTCAAAGATGGGAAACGGTTCTGCAGCTTCACACACTGCCCTGGGTCGTGGACACTGGCCACAGAAGTGACTGCTAAGTAGACTCGGCCTCGCGCCTGGCAGTCTCCGGGGGACTGGCTTTTGTAAAGCTGGGATATTAGCTTATTTGATGCTAATAAGTCACTTTTCTTGGGTCTTATTATACTAACTTGGCACTGCCTGTCCGTTTAGTGATGCTGAGTTTAGATAGCAAAGAAACACTCACTGAAGTCTGCTCTGTGCAAAAGAGCTCAGAGTGTCAGGAGGGCACGGCCCCCATGCAGCTGGCTCCACACCAGCCTGCTCTGGCTTCCTGCCATGTGTGCAGACCACCAGCCTTGCACTCACAGACATGGGCGTGCATCATCAGCCTTGAGCCTGACCCTGGGCACTCCATAGATAGGACTCTCACCAGCGCTCAGCAAATGATTCACACATCAGAATGTTCCACTGGACAGTAGGCATTTGAACATCTGTGATTACATTCAGAGAAGAGTCTCAAGATCAGGTAGCAAAAGCAAATTTTAAAGTTTTTAGGTGTTGGGCCAAGGTGGGAGGATTGCATGAGCTCACGAGTTCTAAGACCATCTTGAGAAAGAGCAAGACCTCGTCTCTACTGAAAATAGAAAAAAACTAGCTGGGCGTCATGCAGACATCTGTAATCCCAGCTACTTGGGAGACTCAGGCAAGAGGCTCACTTGAGCCCAAGAGACTGAGGTTGCTGTGAGCTATGATGACACCAGGGCATTCTACCTAAAGTGACAGAGTAAGACTCTGTCTAAAAAAAAGTTTTTAGGTCTTGTGATGTTGCAATACATGTGCTACTTATACCAGTCCCAGGCTCAAGCTTTAGAAGTGGTTTAGAGCTAGCTACATGGAAGTACTGAAATTTAAATTACAAATTTTGTTCATCTGGTGCACACTTGATGTTAAGCACTCAGGAGCCTCCTCTGTCCAGAAGTGGTTGTACTGGACAGCACAGAATAGAGAGCATGTCCATCGTTGCAGAAAGCCCCACCAGCTGGGCGGAGGTGCTGGCGTGTGATGTTACAGACCTAGGGAGTGGCGTCTGGAGGCATTTCTCCCTGAGGAGCATGGTGTTAGCCCTGCAGGATGTGGGGGTCCTGTGTCAGAGCTCAGTGGGCCCTACCTGCTAGGCAGAGGTGCTGGCATGTGCTGTTACAGACCTAGGGAGTGGTGTCTGGAGGCATTTCTCCCTGAGGAGCATGGTGTTAGCCCTGCGGGATGTGGGGGTCCTGTGTCAGAGCTCAGTGAGCCCCACTTCTCCACCACACGCGTGTCAGGGACAGGGGGAACTAACTTATCTTGTCCAATTTTTATTGACCAGCTGCTTGTGTTACATGCACAGTGGTCTCCTTTCAGGTCTGCAATGAGAACTCTCTGTTCAAAAGCGAGGCCCGCTACCTGGTGCACAGGAAGGACCCGATCCTCTGGGCTCGTGTCCTCGAGGAGACTGACCCATCCAGGAGACAGCTGATTGACCAGGTGAGGCTCATGGGGGTGTGTCTGTGCCTGGGTTGGCCTCTGATCATTTTGTGGCTCAAGACTGGTCTAATTGTTACATCTAAAACATCTTCCTCCTCTTAAGGGCCTTCTCCCCTGGAGAAATGGCTTGTCTAAAAATGATTCCGTTCCTGAGGGTAAACTGACTTGGAGTTGTTTATTGCCTAAGGGTGTAGGTTTCGCCTATCAAAGGCAGGGATCTGTGGCCCCCAGGAGTCCTTGTGGCTGACCTGCTGGCAAGCCTGCCTGCCTGCTGAGTCCTTGATTGTGTTTCCATTTCCGCCCCTGTTGATGGCAGTTAAGTGGCTCTCAAGATTGTTCTCAACTTGACTTCTCTTTATCAAGGGATAAAAGAGTAAGGGGACTTTATCCCTTGTGCCGACTGTGACTGTCAAGCTCCTCCTTGGAGCCGAACCATAGTCCTGGGGCCAGGGGTCATTATGAGGTGCAGCCTGAGTGGGCTTCCTTCAGCTCTGGAAGAGCCTGCCCTTCCCCCTCTGTGCTCAGCACTGTCCCTAGACTGTTGGGCTTACTGCTCAGGGGTGGGCCAAGATCGGTGGTCCAAGACCAGTGGGGAAATAAATCCTGGTCCAGCAAGTGGCTTCAGCTCTGAGCATGGGATTGGGTTAGAGCTCCCACCTCCTGTACATGATTGCCACCTGCCAGGTGGATGCTTCAGACTCCGAGGGCTGGATTTCACCTTTATTTCTGCTGAATTTAATCTTCTAGTTATCTGTCCACTATCCCCTCAAGCCTGTGCCATTATTTTTTAAATAACTTTTTTTTTATTTTGAAACACTTTTACATTCACAAAAGGCCATGTTGCTATGTCAACTTGGCACTTGTACGTCCGAATCTGATAAAAAATAACATTGAATAATAAAGGGCCAGGGCCAGAGTCAGTTTAGATTCTACTAGGGATTCACTGCAAGTCACAGACATCAGACATTTCTCAAGGAGAAGTCCAGCCACCCAGCGGGGGAAGGTGACCTCGAGTTGGCACCAGGGAATGGCTGGGTAGACGCTGACTGAGCTGAAGCCAGCAGGAGCCCCTTGTCCGGCTACTTCTCTATGGCTGGCTGCCCAGTCATTAGACTGCGGTAACCATATCAAGCCACCTCCCAGTGGGCAGGACTACCGTGCCACTCCAGCTGGGAGTGCACAGTAACAGGGGCAGACTGCTTTAGTTCCTAGAGCAGAACCTCGTTATGGAAAGTTTACTGAAAGGGAGTGTGTCCTGAGGTAACGTCTGGTTGGCCATCCTGTGTCGACTCAAATAGGTGATGGAAATTTATGTTTTGCCATGTAAACAGTCTGTGTATGTTTACTTCACCTGCTCTGAGGTTTTCAAGACCTGACAGTTGGATGGCACCTGGGAGATTCCCCATTCTGTGGATGGACCAGTGTGCTGTGTGCCCCTTTCCCTCAGGGGTGCCCTTCTTGGTTGCAGCTACTGAGATAGCTCCTTTTCTCTAAGGCAGGAGTTTGGTTTGAGGTTGCTGTGAGTTAGGCTGACAGCCTGGCACTCTAGCCTGGGCAGCAGAATGAGAGCTTGTGGCCCAGGGGTCCTCAGCTGTGTAAGACCTCCTCACGGCCACCTGTTCTCTCCCAGTGATACACTCGTGATGCTCACCTCAGAGGAACACCAGAAACAGGCAAAAGGAACAGATCCTGAAGTCACTGGAGGCCCCTACACAGAGAGCAGTGCGGCTTCCCACACCGGGGTCACTGGGGAAGCGTCTCTTGGAAACTTGTCTTTCCACCCTATTTGTAGGTTTTTCTGCAGGTGAGACACGGTGATTGGATGTGGGCAGTACAGTGGCCTTTTGTGGTCCTTCCTTCAGGGTGTGGCTCGGCCTGCACTTGCCTCTGTGGCCAGCAGGAGGCTGCTGGAGCCCACAGCGAGCTCAGGAAAGAGTCAGAGCCAGTTTTTGCTATGCCTTTTAAAAAACAAAGATTTTTACGCAGATGTAAGATTTCAAATGCCTGTTTAGTACACTGTGATACTCATGTTGGAATAAGTTTAGACAGTATGGTTGAGTTAAAAGTCTGCAGCACATTTGATCTGAGAGAAAAACTAGACCAAACTGAGAATTCCGTGAAGTCCAGTGCTTAAAATCCCCTTCTCTCTTTCTAAAAGCAGAGTATGAATGTATTAACTCAGTAACTAAGAAAATGACATGAAGGCTACATTAACCAGTTTCATGAGAGTATTTCAAAATGTGTATGAAAACACCACACTGTACCCCATGATTGCATTAATGTACACAGCTATGATTTAATAAAAAAACTAAAATAAAAAATCCCCTTCCCCAGCTCTACACCTGTAGCTCAGCAGTTAGAGCGCCAGCCACATACACTATAACTGGCAGGTTCAAACCCAACCCGGGCCTGCCAACAACAATGACAAGTACAACCAAAAATAGCCAGGCATTGTGGCAAGTGCCTGTAGTCCCAGCTATTTGGGAGGCTGAGGCAAGAGAATCGCTTAAGCCCAAGAGTTTGAGGTTGCTGTGAGCTGTGATGCCACAGCACTCTACCAGGGCAACATAGTGACACTGTCTCAAATAAATAAATGCATAAAATCCCCTTCCCCAGAGAAGGGGAAGGGGGTCATGGTGTGTGACACACCTTTTGGGGCCAGGGCACAATTATAAGGGGCACCCTACCTAACAAATGCAATCAGTGCAACCTAATTCTTTGTACCCTCAATGAATAAAACAATAAAAACAAACAATGAAAATTTAAATGACATCCCCTTCCCCTTCTACCCTGTGCATGTCCCCTCTGCTCTTTGTCTGTTCCTGACCGTCTTGGAACAATCTTTCTTTATTTGGAGGAGTCCTTCCTTTCTGCTTAGTTTCAAAAATACAGTCTTGAATTGACTTAATCAAGTTTTTAAAATGTTTTTTACACCCAGGTGGTACAAACAGCATTGGCAGAAACACAGGACCCTGAGGAGGTCTCAGCCACTGTCAAAGCCTTTATGGCAGCTGACCTGCCTAATGAACTAATTGAGCTGCTGGAGAAGATTGTTCTGGAAAACTCCATCTTCAGTGAGCACAGATGCGGCTATGTTAGGGGTAGCTGTGGACTGGGCCAAATCAGTGCCTGCCTCGCACTGCCTTTTGTAGTCTCGTGTCACCTACACACCCAGCCCCCGGGGGCAGCTCCCTGAACACCGGCCCCTCTTCTCCCTTGCCTCCTGCCCACCTCCTATCCAGCCAGTCTCAGGTCCTCTGGGAACCTAGACTTCTCTCACTGCTCTGGCCCATGCTGCTCAGAAAAGGGGGACTACCATTTCATGAGGGACTGAAATGTCCCAAGGGTGTGATAAACTATTGAAATCATGGTGAACAAAGCTAGGTAACAGGGTCCAGGAGAACCTCATCTGGGCAGGTGTCAGTGAGGACCAGCTACAAATGCAGTGTAGGGACGTGTGCAGTGGGGCTGTGGTGGGAGGGGCTCTCTGTGGGAGCGCAGTGGGGGCTGTGGTGGGAGGGGCTCTCTGTGGGAGCACAGTGGGTGCTGTCATCCGAAGGGCTCTCTAGCAGGAGTGGGAGCCCCCAGGAGGCAAGCCCTGCCTCAACGTGGGCACATCTAGCCTGCCTCTGCTGTAGAGTCACGGTCAGAGACTGTGTCAGGTGAACTGTATCCACATCAGTGTGAAGATTTAATTGTGAAATTTATTTCATAGACAAGAAGAACTTGCAAGGGCTGTGTTACTGTAGAAAGTAACGTGTGTGTTTTAATTTGGAAATGCTGTGTGTAATGGTACATGGAATGTGAAATTATGTTTTAATCAAATCATGAACACTGGTTGAGTATGCCCAAGTAAGGTGCCCAAGTAAGGTGCCTGGGGTAGCTGAGATGTTCTATCTGGCTGTCAGAGGGACTTCCTTTGATAGGTATTAGCCTGCAGGCATTCCCAGACACTCAAAGGCAACTCTGCTGCCCTCTTGATCCCCACTTCTCAGATATACAGGGGGACATGTGAGTTCCTGATCTTGTTTCTGTGGCTTCTCCACCGGGCTTACTTCTCTGTAGGTGAAGATAACTCAGGTTGGCTGAGACTGGAGACCTAGGGACTGGGACAGATCTTGTCGCTGAGAAATCATAAAAATGTAGGATGAGGGGCGGCACCTTCTGGCTCAAAGTAGGGCGCTGGCCCCATATGCTAGAGGTGGCAGGTTCAAACCCAGCCCCAGCCAAAAACTGCAAAAACAAAAAATAGGATGAGATCCATTGTACCCAATTCTAGTATGAATGCAGTAGATGAGCTAATATAGGAGGGGATGGGGACAGCCTGTGGCTCAATGGATAGGACGCTGTTTCCATATACCAAGGGGGACAAGTTCGAACCCAACCCCCGCCAAACTTCAACAAAAAATAGCCAGGTATTGTGGCAGGCACCTGTAGTCGCAGTTACTCAGGAGGCTGAGGCAAGAGAATTGCCTAAGCCCAGGAGTTGGAGGGTTGCTGTGAGGTGTGACACCACAGCACTCTACCGAGGGTGACAAAGTGAGACTCTGTCTCTTAAAAAAAAGAGGGGATGCAGGGGATGAAGGAGAGGGGAGGGAGAAGAGGGAGGAGGATGGGGGTCACGATGTATGGTACACCTCTTGGGGGTGGCACACAATTACAAGAGGGACTTTATTTAACAAATGCAATCAGTGTAACCTAATTCTTCGTACCCTCAATCCTGAACAACAACAAAAAAGATAAAAGAAAAATGTAGGATGAATTATACAGACTATTTTTGAAATTGAATTCAGTTGCCAGGCACAGTGTCTCATTCCTGTAGTCCCAGCTACTCAGAAGGCAGAGGCAGGAGGATTGCTTCAGCCCAGGAGTTAGAGACTGCTGTGAGCTGTGATCACACCACTGCACTCCAGCCTGGGCAACAGAGCAAGACCCTAGCTCAAAAATTTTTGTTTATTTCAGAAGTAAATGAATCATCCAGGCCCATGCCTGTAATCCTAGCACTCTGGGAGGCCAAAGTATTGCTTGAGCTGAGGAGTTGGAGGCCAACCTAAGCAAGAGAGATACCTGTCTCTAAAAATAGCTGCTGTGGCAGGTGTCTGTGAAGCTGAGGGAAGAGAATCACCTTGAGCCCAAGAGTTTGAGGTTGCTGTGAGCTATGATACTATGGCACTCTACCAGGGGCAACAAAGTGAGACTGTCTCAAAAAAAAAAAAAAAATCAATGAGCTAGCAAATAAATATAGAAGACAGAGCTTGAGGGGGCGGAGCATGATGGTGGATGGGAAGGACGTTTAGCTGAGCCTTCCTGGAGCAAAAGGGCAGAGGGAGCAGCTGGATCAGTCCTGGTGTGGAGTACAGCAGTGGTTCAGAGTGTGCCGCGATTTGGTGGAGCTGCAGAGAACTAACACACTTGGGCAAGTTTCTGCGAGCACGCCCAGGCCACAGCGGTGAGGTCTCAGAAACCCAGTTTGCGGTTCTTGGGGGAAGCCAGGCGGTGTTCTCCCGAACGGAATTTGGTGTCCAGATTGGAGTGCTGGTTGGAGCAGCTTTACCACGGTTTGGCAACTGGTGAAGCATTCGTCAGGGAAGAGTTCCCAGACAGTGGGAAACCATAGCGGGCATCTCGCTGGACGCCTGCGCGGATAGCGGACTTTAATGCATGTCAGACTCCGGGACTCCGAAACGATTGGAGAAGTGGGCACTCCCCAGCGGAGTTTGGGGGCCAGTTTGGGGTGCTGTCTGGAGCAGTCCTACTGCAGTTTGGCAGTGGTGAAACTTCCGTAGGGGAGAAAGTTCCCAGCCAGGGAGACACCATGGTGAAGAAGGGCCCTGTGAGCCTGTGCAGGGGGCCTCCTGCTGGGGGCCTAAGGCGCGGCGGTCTGAGTTCCACCTGCCGGGAGTTAATGGTCCTTCCCTAGGGACAGGCCCAGGGACCCGGCTCTCCATGGCAATAGTTACAGGAGTAGTCTATGAGACCTGTCTCTGAAGAATTATTGGCTC